ATCAGTGAAACATGAAGCAGAGGATACCAGTGGAAACTGCACTGCTTTACACAAAGGGTTGCAGGAGTGTGCAACAAACTAACTATAATGTGATTGAAGCTGATACCCTGGTTTCTTACCCTGGTTGAAGCCGATACCCTGGCTGGATGAGATCCTCGGATCGATTAGCTGCTAACAACCAAACAGCCTTGAAGGGCCGAAGAGTCTTCTCTCGTTCGGTCCCTTTCTTACGTGCCGTCACCAGCGAGCTCGGCGCAGAAGACCTATTCCCTACCGGACCGCCTCAGCTGATTATCAACACAGAGGCGGGGAGGTCTGGCACGGTGAGGGCACCTGGCTGGGGCTGCAGGGGGCAGTGCCACGCAACGCGGACAGGGGGGCGCGATACTGCTCGGTTCACCTCCGCCACTGCCTGCCACGGCCACGACATCAACAGCTTCATCCACAAAAACGCTCCGGCTGGCTTTTTCGGGCCTTGTTTTGTCTGCTCCCCTCGGTGTTGCAGCGACCGAGCGGGGGAAAAAAAAAACCAAAACAACAACAACAGCAGCAGCAGCAGCAGCAGATGATCCTGTTCTAAAAATATCGCCATTGCTTCCAGGAGCTCGCAGCCCTCTGACTTCAGAGTACGGGGAAAACGGAGGGAGGGAGAGAGAGAAAGACAGAGCAGGAGATCCCTAAGTCCAGGCTCTGCGGCTTCTAACCCCAACAGCCCCCCACCCTCCATCTCTGCGCCCCGTCCTCGCAGGGACAGGCACAGACGCAGCCCGGGGGCCCATCTCCCCCCCGACGAGACCCTCACGCTAACGCGTTCCTTTCGGTGGAGACAAGGAGCCCGGTCCCCGCGATCACACGCTGGTTTGCATTAACGACCCTTCCTAATTAGTTTTCTAAAAAAAGAATCGCTTTCTTCTCCAAGACGGTGCTGCTTCAAAAGGTGTGTGTGTGGGGGGGGACAAAGCCGGCAAGAGAGAAAAAAAATACTACGCGATTTCCGTGGTGTTTGTGCAACGGTAAACAAAATGCAGGATCTCGAGAAAAAAAGGCTTTTAAACTACAACGTCTTTTCCGTTATTGACTCTGAAAAGGGAGAGCTTTTTTAACCCCCATTGGACTTTCACCTAACATATCACACCCCATAACAGGCAGACGTCCTCCCACATTTCCACAGACAGGCAGCTGTAGGGGCCAGAAGCTGCAAACTTGCTACGGCTGTAGAATTAATCCCGCCCCTGACAACAGGGGCTAAGGTGCCTTCAGAGCAGGGTGCTAGGCGCTGGCCAGAAGGGTGCAAAAAACAAGTCAGCAAAGCACAGCAAACTGGCCGCCACACATCTCCCACCCTGATGCTGAGAGAGACTGGCATCACATGCAAATCCATGCAACGGATCCTCCACGCACACTGCTGTTCACACCGGCACGCCTGAAGACAGGGAGGAAGGAGGGACGCATGCAAGCACAGCCCCAGGAAGATCTCCAGCACTGAACAGGACAGTAACCGGATTTCGCACTTTCATACGCCTGGGAGATTGATCTGGTAGAGTTTGTGTACTGATTTTCCTGTGTATTTGTTGTCAGGCTGTTACAATTATGTCATTACTGTTTGTTTTGTTTTTTTAATTTACACCAGCCTGGCAACACATACAAAGAGAATCAATGATGAATGAGTCTGGGTATGTGCCAAATTCCTTTCCTCTCCCATCAGATCAATCAATTCTTTGCCACATGAAGCCAATAGATCAGTGCAGCCTCTTGCAACTCTGTTATGGTTTTAAACATTAATCATCCCACAAAACACCATTCAAATAATCCCATAATCTTTTATTGCAGCTCAATAACACAAGACATGAATAGAAAAGATAGTAATGTTCAGCCCATCTTACATGCTTGATTGCTTGCATAGAGAGCAGGTGATAGGGCTGCAGCCTCCTAACTGCAATGATGTAGGTTTCAGTCATCTCTACAGCCACTGCTGCTACACTTCACTCCAACTGTTCTAGTCCACACTCCTTCCCTACTAGTGTCCCATCCTGGGGGGGCACATACTTCCCAATCCACTTAATGCTACAGGGACTGGGATGAGCTCTTTGGCTGATGAGTCTCTAGTCTCAGGCGAGGACTTCCAGCTGCATTAGATCCAAAAGTCCTAGTTGTGGCTTCCAGTGGAACACTCTTGTCAATCTCTTCTTTAACCCTTCTGCTGTCTTCTGTGATGTCTGCTTGCAGATCACAGTATTTTTCCTTAGTTTCTATGAAACTGAATTTCTATGGGTTCCTATTGGTACCACACCATTGGTAGTGACTTCTTACTACTTAACCTTTTCTCAAATGATCAATTAAAGGATTCAGATCACATTTTCCTGCAGTTTTTTAATGTCTGGAGATTATTTTTCCTTGTTCTTTTGGCATGATATATTCAGGAGCCTAAGGACATCTTTTTCTACTCATTATTCTGCCGGTTTTGACTCATACCTTTTCTACAGAATCCATACCTATCTATCGGATGGCAATCTTCTGTCTCGAACCCCATCTCATTCCCTTACAACCCTATCAATCCTCACTTCAGATTTGACCTGCAGCATTTTGAGAATGTCCTTCAAAAGACAGCCCGTCGTGGTCCGCGGAGACCAACACCCACACCGAACATGAGAAACAGTCGATCGAGTGCACGCATGCTGACTGACAGACAACCACATGTCAACAGCAAGACACTCTCCTAGACACTCAGAACGCAAGCACATCAACTGCATCCCGGACACACAGAGACTCAAGAACTCCTATCTACACAGACACATCCACACACACACGTTAGCCTGCGCTGTAGCTCACAGAAATTTGCTTTCCACAAATAGAACCTTCTGATGACTCATACTCCTCTCAACCCCACTAGCAATTTTCTGCCCTGACAGATAAAAAATTCTTGTTTTAATAAATAATGCAAGATCACATCAATCACCTGTGTTATCTGTCTCTATGAAAGGCAGCTGTGCAGGCGGGTCGATACCAGCTGACCACCCCCCCCTCCACCTACGTCCGGCGCAAACGAATTAACCCCCCAGCAGCGGCAGGACAGCAGCAGGAAAGGCTGGGACCAGCGTGGACACCAGGCGGCAAATCTCTCCTCCTCCTCCAAATGTCAGAGCTCGAACTGAGAGAATTCTTCAAGCCCCGCTCCCTCTCTCGCATCAGCAGCAGCTCATTTGTATGAATGGGGCGCGATCACATACATATTCTCTGGAAAGCGTTATCTGCTTTGGTTCCCCAGTACATCGGGGACAGCACCGTGAACTGTTTGCTCTCTTTTTCTCACTCAAGCGCAAAAACAACTGTGCCTTTTCTTTCTCCGGGGTAAACATCAAGATTTGTTCTAACTCAACTGGGGTGCAAAAAAAGTTTATTTTTTCCCCCATTTCTCGTGCCAAAGTTGCCTTCAATCTTCAAGCTGAAGAAACCGGAAGAAACAGGGGCACAGGAAAACCTGACAAGAGTCCCCTGCAGGATGAGAAATCAGTTGTGACTGGACAGCGGCAGTCCAGTGCCCAGGACAGACACAGGTTCAGCTCAGGTCCCTCTCCAGTCGCAGTCAGGGACCAATCAGTCAAGACGAGCAGATTGAGCTCCTCCTGCCTGCACTTCCATTAAAGCAACATGAGAGTCACAGAGAGTCTAAACCACAAGAAGTAATGAGTTTGGCAAGCTACCCTACCTCTTCATTCAAATGTACCTCAAAGGTCCTGAGATTTTTAAAGACTTCATTGAGAAATATGCGTATGGAAAAAATCAATCACAGTGCTACACCATATTTCTTTTATTCAATGCAAAACTAAGCCTGCTTTGAGATACTGTACAGAGCAAGCAGCTATATCACTCTGCAACTAACAGCTGGCCACAGAGAGTCAGGACCTCAGTTTTACGTCTCATCCGAAGGACGGGGCCTGTTTACAGTATAGTGTCCCCGTCACTATACTGGGGCATTAGGTCCCACATAGACAGCAGGGTGAGCGCCTCCTACTGGTCCCACTAACACCTCTTCCAGTAGCAACCTTAGTTTTTCCCAGGAGGTCTACATCCAGGTACTGACCAGGCTCACACCTGCTGGGCTTCAGTGGGCTGCCAGCTGTGAGTTGCAGAGTGATGTGGCTGCTGGCAAAGAGAACAGCCACTTTATGAGGCAAAGAGAACTCTAATGAGACAAAGTAACTGGCTGCCCTGTTACTGAAATTGTATATCGTCCACATTACAGTGCCCATGAGCTCAGTCATCTTCCGGACAAACCCGGCAGAGAAGAACCGGGAAGAGAAAGTGGGAAGAAAAACGAGAAGAAAATGGAAACACAGAAAGAAGAAAGAACAAAAGAAAGAGACCAGGAGCAAAGCTGAAAGACAGGGAGAGCAGCAATCGAGAGAATCAAACAAGAAGAGGAAAGGGAGGAAGAGAGAAGGGAGATGTCAGCTGGAGCCGCAGACCACCAGGAGCCCAGCAGAGGGCGCTGCCCCTCCCACGGCGTGCAGCACATCCTGAGCTCCCCCATTCATTTCCCGAGCCAGAAGGGCAGCCATGAGCACATGCTGCCTCCTGCGTGACCAAGGAGCTAGCCTGCAGACAGGCGTCTTTGGTAGCCACGTCACGGCCATGTCCAACGCTGCCACACGCACGCACACGCGTGTCCCTGTCTCTCAGCATCAAGGAGGCAGCAGTGCAATTATTAGGGAGCATCTTTCCGCGCCTGAAATGTTCCAGCTAACGAGTGAGTGTGAACAGCAATTTAGAAATAATGGGATGCTTTGTGTCCTCCACCATGACTGGGTAACTTGACATTTGATTACAATGTAAGCAGCAGACTGTTCTTTTTTCCTGCGGCAGTTTAATGTATGCACTTGGCATTCTGCTTATCAAGGGTCTATTATTATTGTCTGTGAAGCATAAAAGCGCTCCTCTCCACCCCTGCAGCTCAACAGACAAACAGAGCACTGCATCTCCCTATACAGAGCGCTCCTCACCTCTCTCCAGCGCTGAATCAGTCACCAGCCCGGCCTACTCTGCGCAGAGGAAAGGGTGGCCGACTCATAAAACAGACGAAGGCGGCAAGTTAAATCATCCCCAGAGCCTTCGTGATCTCCAGAAAACCACAGAGCCCTGCCACAGCACCTGGAGCTACCCCAGCCCAAGCAGAACTGTTCACTTTCCCCACAGCACTGCTGTGGCTAACTTCTGTGTCGGCCTTCCCAGTGGGTGTGTCGCCAGCCACGCACAATGTGCAAGGCCGAGCGCTGACAGGTTTGAGGGTGCTCCGTTTTGGGCTTGGTACCTGCCAAGGCTGTGTGGCTGGGCTTGGTAATACCGGGTGCCTGTCCGCAGCCGTGACCGAGGACACACATTTACCTTCAGCCCCACACGCTGCTCCTCGGCCTCGGTTTCCAAGAGCTGTGGTGTATAAAAGCAGTGGCGCCGCACAGGAGAAGGGTCAGAGGAGAGCGATCGGGTCAGAGAGGAGGAAGCCCTATGGCAACATGCTTCCCTGCCTCTTCCCAATTTCAAGCACTGTGCCACTAAAATCCACGGTCAGCGAGGAATTTAACAAGATGGGAAGGCGGTCATTCCGAAGGACGTAGAGGGCGATCATCTCACAGTTTGTAGAGAAAGCTGCTTGTTTCTCTTCCATGTTTGCATTTTTAAACCGGCGCACTGTACAGGAGAGCATCTACCAAGCCACGCAGAGCACAAGGTAATACTATAAAGCTTCCAGCGTCGAGATCTGCTGATGTCTGTCTTCACGGCAGCATCAAGCTCAGAGGTGAAGCTCTTGCTCCGACGCATCAAAGTGCGCGCCCGATTTCTCTCTGTAATGCAACAGGAGGCAGGCAGGAGTCCCCGCTGGTCCACGGCGCTCTCTCGATGTGCCAACCGCAGCTCACCTTCACAAAAAGAGCTGGAGCAATTCTGTTCTGGCCGATACCCCAGTTTCGCAGACCCCGCCCCTCCCCTGCGTCACTCTCCTGGCAGAAGCCTGCAGAACTGGCAGGAGCTGGCAGAGCAGTTCTAATGCATGCAAAAAACAACTGCCCTTTGGAAATAAAAAGGGCATGGCAGACAATTCTAATTTAAACGTATTGATAAGGACATCAGAAAGGTTGCAGTCAAAAACAAGCCGTCCGGCTCCTCTTGTTTAACTGCTAGCTACTCCTTGATCCAAAACGTTTTCATCCACCTGGTTCGTATGCACGATCCCAGGGAGCAGGAATTCAGGCTGGGATCAGCAGATATTCTTTAACAAGGTGACAAGTTTAAGGAGAAAATTAATCATTTAAAAACAGATGGAAGGGGGGAAGAGGGGGTCTGGCCAACCCCGTATGCTGTTAAATCTTCGTGCTGGGGCTCAATCAGTGATCAGTCCTTTCGGGAAGCAGGCCAGGCACGTGCCTACAAGCACCCAAGTCAGTGTGAACACATGCCGTCTAGAAAATCACATTTCTTACCGCTTGCAGCCAACACCAGTCAGATAAAAAAAAACACGTTTTCCTGAGCGGGACAAATCACTGCAAATCTCTGAAAACATGCAGGACGTAATAAACCGTGCCTACCTTGACTCAGGGCAAATGTCCCCCTGACTCTGTTGTAGCTGCTTAGTCCATACATTGCTGTCAGAACACTGGCCCATGACAGGAAAATACTTTGTCAATCAAAGTCTCGGGAAAGCGTTCACTTTCTTAAAAACACAACTTCCTCAAGTCTATGGCACTGTACTTCAATGGCGCATGATGGTGAGAGATTTCAGTAAGGCTCTTTGCTTCAGCAAAAAGCTCCTTGTTCTTCAAAGGTAGGCCGTGCCTAGTTAAATGATTAACCCGATAAAACTCTCAAGCAGGGGTCACTTAAGCAATTTGCTTGGTTTTCCAGGAAAGTTCCTGTTGGGCATAAGCCACTTTTGGCAGCTGTGTGTACACAGTTATAAAGCTGCACAGCGGGACACAGAACATCACCCGAAAACAACTCCAAAACTCCATTTAAACCCCGAGGGGGGGGAACATGGAAAGCCTAGTCATAAAAAATGGATTCACTCCAAAAAAAAGAACAATTTCCAACCGTTCAGTAACATCTTCACGTAAGCGGAAAAAAAAAACTAAGAATCGATTGCGAAAAGGGCACTTTTGGCACTGCAAGGTACACAAACTCCACTCCCTGTTTTGCCTTGCCGTGCTGTTGAAACGGACTTTCTGACTCCCAGGATTACTTTCTCCTGCGAGAAAGAAACAGCTAAGGCAAAGCAACTGAAAACGAGGGATTTCTCTTTAACTGAAGGTTGCGCAAAAGAAAAAACAAAATCGTCCCATCGTGGGGCCACAGCGCAGAGCAACAACAGGCCGGCTGGAAAGGGCACTCGCATGTCCAACAGCAGACCCATGTAAGAATGGATAAAACAAGGCTCTCGTACAGCCACGGGAAACACCCCTCAAAGGGATTCTGAACAACACGTGCATTTTGAGATGTAAGAAAGAAATTCTATCTACTTTGAATGCACAACAGTACACATTTTAAACATCTCCCCCTGAACAGGAAATGCATTAAGGCCTTACCTGGATTATTTGGTGAGCTCATGGGTAAAGTCAGAAGAGGGAGGTGGCCAGCTGTCCTCAGATTCTTATTTCGAGACTGTTGCGAGGGGCCGGGGTGTCTGGGGGCCGGTTTAGCGTTCCTGTGCCCGTGAGGGCAGGGAGAGGGGATGGGGTGAAGGGTGGGATTGTGGGTAACGGGCTCTAAAGGGGGTCTTCCGCATCTGCCATGGCTTTTCGCAGGATTGGGGGGGGCGACGAGACGACCTCGCTGCAACACAGAAAGGACGAGAATCAGAGGGCTGTGGACGTGGGGCCCACACAAACGGCGCCGCCCAGAACCGAACAAACCGTCTGCTGGGTAGAAGGAGCCGCAGCCCCCCCCAGCGCATCCTGGAAGGGCAAGCAGACGTCTGGAGTCTACCCTGGAAGTCAGAGAGGCAGCTCATTAAAAACAAAGCAACTAGCCAAGGGTTCAGACTGCCTGTGCCTGTCGTCCCCCCCCCGTTCATCCTGAAGACGCCTGGTTACAGCCTACTGGCACACTTCCAGCCCCCTCCAGCCCCCTGGAGTCACGTCGACCCGCGGCAAGCTGGGCAGCAGGTGGGTGTGCTGCAGGGATGGTAACTCAGAGGATGGAGACTAGCAGGGCTCACCTCCATGAAGGGGGTGACCGCCGTCTTGAAACCAGTTTGAATGCTGGTCGGCAAAAACGCACTTGAACCCAAGTTACAAAGCAAAGCATCACAGCTGTGCATTGTGCCTTTACTGGCTGCGTATTGATTGGGGTCTCCCAGGTCCTCCACGGGCACTTTGTGCTCTTTTCTCTGATTGAGCAGACAGGATATTGACCACCAGCTCCCTCGAGCATCTTCTAATAGACTTTGTTGTGATGCGACAGTAGCAGGCTGGCCACCCTCGTTGCACTTCAAGGCAGTGATGTCAGACCGGCCGCGGAGCTCCGCGCTGTGCAGCACGCGGACAGGCGGGGATCCATACACGGATAGACACGGGTCAGCGCGGACAGGCCAGGACCAGCGCGTGGACAGGCGGGGATCCATACACGGATAGACACGGATCAG